AAAGAGAAGTAGGGCCAAGTCAGACAGTGGTGTTAAGCAATCTTACAGATTTTTTCCCACTTTCCACACACACTCTTCATCCCCACAAGCTCTTATTTAAAGAGCAAGAGGTGATCAGTGCGGGTTACACCTGAGGCAATTACATAACAAAGAGGCCCCAAACAAGTCTTTGAAGAGGAGCTGAATTGAGATTTTTTTTAAAGGAACATGGGCAACTCTAATTGTAGGAAAGAAGTTAGCATCCTACATGTTGGGTACCTGTGCAGGTCTGTTGCAGATTCTCTTTGAACATTTGTCAGGTCAATGCCCTCAGAAAAAAAAAAGATGCAAAAAAACCCACTCCAGTGATTACTGTTGTAGCTGACTATAAGGCAGCCTTGCACAAGTCAGGCTATGAAAGGCCTGGTAACTGGAAAACAAACCCTTAATTTAAATGTTAATGAAAGTGCTGGGGAGACATCAGAGGGTTATATTTTTTTTTTTTTGCAAGAAGCAAGATACATCGGAACTAGAATTTATGGCTCCGTCCCCTCCCCCTTGCTCTCCCTGCCTTTACTGTCCAGCAAAGTTTTTTAAAACTAATTTTAGCATTAACTCCACACTTCCACCCTGGGATGCAATTGCTAAATTATCTGCTGGCAGGACACTGATCAAAGGTGGAAAAACAAAGGCACACTGCACAGCCCAGCAAAAGTAAACAGTGACCATGGCCCAGAAAAATTACCTTCTCCATCCCTTCCCTTGGAAGTTTGAAAAATAGAGGAGAAAGATCACTGACTGGAAATAGAAACCTGCAGAACTATGACTGCAGGACCCCTAAATAGTAATCAATGTGACAGAAGAAACTGAAAAGGGCCTTTCTCCTACACTACGTTAAATTGTAGGAAAGACAGGTTTTTCATCTCACCTCTCAGGAAGCTGCTCCCCTTGAAAATTATCAAAATCCTTTCTTCCAAAAATGTTTGTAAAGCCGAATTACTGTAAAGGGAAAATTGCCATCACAGATAACTTTCTGATGGAACTAATATCTGTTTTCCTGTTTACAACACTCCTACACCCTTAAGAAATAGAATTAACCTTGTGCTCTAACATCTCTATACTATGCATAATTTGTTGCTGTAATTAGATAAGTAAGTATTTGTATGGTCTACCTCCTCCCCCAAAAAAGTATCAAATCAATATCGTAAAGTCTTTTAGACCCTACAAAATTCCATTGTGCCAAAATACAGGTTGTTTCAAAATGGCGGACCCTATTTCAAAGCAGTATATTTCCTGATGGCAACATGTTACAATTACACAAAAAGTTATAACCACTTTAATGAATTATAAAGTTATCAAGTTTTGATAACCATTTTGAGCCATAAGCACATATAAAAATAACTCTGCAGATGGAGAATGTCTCATTAGGCCTTATGTTGCAGGGTTACCAAATGACTGAGGCTAGGGGCTGTTTGTGCACTGGGAGAGGCATCTAGAGATAATCACTTAAAACTTTAAGCCGCAACCTTTTAGGTGGTAATAGTTTCATTCATGGACTGTTCATGGTTGCAGAGATAGAGCAATTTCAAATCAGGTCCATCTTTTCAAAACACTCTGTATATAAAGCTTTAAGCAAACAGGTGAATAAGATCAAAGCAAAAATCTGTAACTGTCTTGATCTCCTCAAAAAGGAAAAAGATAGAGGAAAAGGTAGGAAGACAAAAATCAAGCTGAGAAAAATCTGTGTTGCTGTTTCAGGAGAAAAGTAGTTAGCAATACTTTACAAGGAACAAGTCTACAAGAATCCACAGGTCCATCCTGAGCAGAAGTCAGTAGTGCAAACTGAACTCAAGCGCTGCAAATCAAACTAGGATCTTGACAGTGCATTTGCCACCATCAGTGACAAGTTAAATCTCCCTTCAGATAACAAGCACCACTTCAGTTCCCACATTGGAGAGGCAAAAGAAACAGGTAGAAACAGTCCTATTACCATACCGACATTACGAAGTCAGCAGTGCCATAGTATCTCAGGGCAACAAGAGATTAGAAGAACATCTACTAGTGTTCAATGGATATAGTAACATGGCCATGATGTAAGACAGCCTTAACAGATTAGTACATAGATCAAAAGAATGCTATCAATTGGACAATAGGTTATCATAAGCCAACCAGATGGACAAGTGAAATCTAGGATTTGGAAGGTCAAGGGCATCCCTTCCATCTAGATATTTGCCTGGACTAATTTCTTTACTATCTGCAACATACGTACGGGGGAGGGGGGGACAATTTTGGGGCCAGCAAAGCCAGCATGAACTCTTAAATTCCTATAACTTAAGAGTGTGTTTCCACTTTTAGGATTTAAATGTACTGCATATTCCTGCTTCCATATTAGCTGTGCATTGATAGTGGATGCAGAGCAAAGGTAAGTTACTATAATATTGTCATCCATCCACCAGACATCAAGAAGATCATAAATGAAAACTCAGGTGCACCAAAGATACTGTATATTTCTTTTTGTATTGCTGACATGGGTAGAATAATATCACAATCCATCACCATTTTCAAATATTGAAGTACATATTAAATACATATCAAATATTATTTACATGGTATTCTTATCAATTCCACCTTTATCTCCCACTTGTATCTATCGATTTTACACCCCTCTCCTCCTCCCTCACCCCCATCCTCTGGGAACAGTACTTGTCTTCATTGAAATATTAATTTAATTGAACAATTGAGTAAAGAGAATGGTTCAGCTCTTTATATCTTTCTTTTCCTTCGACTTTTTCTATCAGTCTTCCCCATTTCTGAACCCAGGTCTTTTTTTGGCATGCTGTATATTTAGCTCTTTTTTCAGAGATGTAGTCCTGAAGCATATAATCTGCTAGGTAACTGTACCATTTTTAACTTCCCACTTTCTATGGGGCCACAGTTGCTTGGACTGCTACTATCATGTATTTTATAATTTCCCCCCAAGCTTTGATGTTTTCATTCTTGTCTAATTTCTGGGTGAAAAATTCTTTTTTATTCAAAACCAATTTCTGCCGTATTAATTCTTCCATTTCCTTCTTGAACTTATTATAAAAATCTTGTACTCTGTCACATTCCCACCACATATGGATGTAGGAGCCAATTTTTCCACATCCGTGGCAACATAGTTTTGTGAATATACCACATATTTCAGGGTGAGGAGAAAGCAGTCAGCTTGCTCACAGCTATTAATTAATAGTGGTACTCTGCTCCTTGAGATAGGAAATCAGTCAGCTTCCTAAATGTGTGTATGCAAAGCAAAAGAGAATTAAAAAAAACTCTAAAATGAAACAAGATGCTAAGGATACCGAGTCACTTTGAAACTAACTCTACTTAGAGAGACCAAGCAATCCATTTACCTTGATGTGGGTGGAAAATCTCAGCCTGTGCTAGTAATGCCCCCTCTTGCCCTCAAACTGTTTCTTCTAAGATGCCAGTGACATTTTCTTGGAAGCGACAGGTTTATAGGTTAGCTGACACCTCCGCTCTGTGGAATTTTAATTAACTTCTCCCATCATTAATATGTTAAGGAGCAAGGTTCTATTATACAGGGTCAGCAGCGTGTTTCAGGCCTTGCTATATCAGCCATCAAATTGAAGAATTAATGACGTGGCTAATCGGCTCTAATGCTTGGGGTTGGGGAAGAAAGAGAGGTGCAGTGGGATCAGCATCATAAAACAAGCAAGTGATGCAAACCTGAGGTTGCTGATGGAGAAGCCACTCTGCAAGCTTCCATTTATCACCCAGTAGGGGTAAGAAGACGCTAGGTAAATATTGTGACAGAGAGTGTGTGTTCACTCCAGGGAGAGAAGTCAGTGCTCTGACAAGAGGCCAGCCCTGCAGGTCATCACTTAGAAGGACAAAACAGTGTGCTATACAAAGGCTCCCCTAGTCATAGCACCACATCCAGGGCATACTTCCCAAAGCTCAAGCGGAAGACCTCTGAACAAGCAGCCTGAAAGCCCTTAGCACTGGTCTAACCAAGTTTTTAACCATTCGTTTGACCATTTTTATGTCTGCTATTTCAAAAGGAATCTCAAATTATGCTCAGTAGGTTGAAACTAATGAATTTAACTCCTAGTCTTATTTAATTCAAACTACTAATGTGAACAGAAAGCTAGAACCCAGAAGAGGTATTATTTATTTATTTATTTAAAGTATTTATATATCACCTTTCTCACCCCTGGGGGGACTCAAAGTATTATTCACCACAACAGGTCAAATGTACCCCTGCTTTAACTATCAGCCTACTGAAAGGTCCCACAAAACCTGTAACTTAGGCTTCAAATTTAAATCAAATCTGTCACAGGAAAATTCACAAAGCTTTTCAGAATAGGAAAAAAAATTCACAAAGCTTTTCAGAATTCAAAGCTTTTCAGAATAGCAAGTGAGTATATCCGTAGTACAAACTGCCTTGCTGCAGTCTACCTTTATAGTTTGTAACAGCCCACAAACAAAAGCAGGTCAAGAGTACAAAACTATTAGATACCTAGCTAAATGAAAGGCTTCTATTCAATAAAATGGAAATTACCTGTATATATTCTAGGATTATTTTGATACAGGCACATGTACAATTTGCTAGTTGCTGCAATTTTCCATTTCTTTCATTCATCAGATTTTCCTCCCTGCCTACGCATGGACGGGCATGGTACCTAAGTTGATGTCAACTTACCTGGGCAGCTTCCATTTTATCAGAACTTTAAAATCAGTCTTCCAGGGCTAATCTAGTTCTCTTTTCTTTCCCAGGTTCAAAATGAAAGGAGAAAAGAAAACCTGCAAAAATCCAGAAAACCTAGACATTCTTCAACTAACACATACTCTCTTCCTATATAACTGACTGCCTCTGAGCAAATAAGGTTTGAGGGTAAGAAAATTGATGATGGGTTGACACCGAGTTTTAGACATCTTGCACAGTTGTAATGATAGTCAGATTTACAAATGAAACATTAAATGTGAACATTGCCGATACAATTAAAAATTTTGGTTACCTTGATAATGGACTAATGGCAATGGACCAGACACGGTCTTCAGTCTGTATTGTGTGCAGGCACTTTCCAGCTCTACCTGGAGATAGGGACCAAACCTAAAAGAAGAGAGGGAAAGGAAGCTGTTTTTGGAAATAAACCCTACCAAACTTTTGGGCACAATCTGATATTAGTAGAGTCTGCTTAAGTTTCGTAGTAAAGGTAAAGGTTTCCCCTTGACATAAAATCTAGTCGTGTCTGACTCTGGGGGGTGGTACTCTCCATTTCTAAGCCTAGCTCATGTGGCCAGCATAACTGCATGGCGTGCCATTACCTTCCCGTTGAAGCGGTACCTATTGATCTATTCACATTTGCATGTTTTTGAACTGCTAGGTTGGCAGAAGCTGGGACTAACAACAGGAGCTCAACCCATCCATGGATTCAAACTGCCAACCTTCCAATCAGCACATGTTGCAACTTAGCGGTTTAACCCACTGCACCACCACAGCCCCTAAGTTTCATATCCCACCACAATACTTTGGTTGTGATATTTCAGGGCAAAGGCTTTACTAATAACACCAACAAGAGAGAGAGAGAAGAGGTCAGTATTATTGCTGTCTAAATAAGTTCAAGCTTTGTTTGCGGTCACAGAAATGTTTCTGCTCGAATTATACATGAGCACATGCCAAAACAAATTTTATCTCATCTTGGTGTTCTTAATGCCTTTTTCCATAGTATTTCACTACACTAAAATCCTTGATGGAAAAGAGGACACTTATACACAGAATATCTTTTCGTACTAATTGCTACGTCCCCTTAGTGCACATTCACACAATGTACTACCAATCTGTAAGTGAACTAGGGAATAACCTTAAGCTCCCGAAATCCTTCAAGATTTCATTGCTTCTTTCTTCCCTGTTCTACGAACTGATCTCTCATTTACTGGATCCAAAGATCCAAGCCCCTCGTTTTCTCTCCACAACTATCCCCCAATGACTTACGGGAATTCAAAGCTGGGAGGTTTGTATTTGTTTGTTTGTTGATAATGCTCAGGATTGCAGGCTATTCAGTGTCAGTGGGGAATGTGTCACCTTGTGTCAGCAAAAGCAGCAGAAAAGCTGAGCTCTTTTAATGCACCCCTATCTCATACAGGTTAAAAATATTGCTGGGAGCATGCTATCTAGTGCCTATCAATGAGGAATGTGCATTAGCAGCTACTCAAAGCTCAGTCCTAATCAACACTCGCTATCCCTCCAAAGCACCCAATGCACTTATAGATCCCATTAGAGACTGACTAGGGATTCCCTTCCAGCTAGAAGTCAACACAAGGGAAATGTCACTTGGTAAAAATAAAAGCAATTCCCTGCTTATAAGGATCAGGATGGAAAAGTGTTAGGTGAATCAGATTCCATTTCTGGTTTTTTTTTTTTAAAGGCAAAAAAAACCCCAACTATTCATACAATTAAACCAGAATTTATTTTGACATTGAACAGTTTGCTTTCAAGGTCATGAAATGTTTCCAAAAGCTCCAAATGGCAGGGCAGCTCTACTTAAATATTGCACAATCCCCAATGTGGAAGACTAAAGAATGGTTTGAAAATCAAGAATTGGGCTGTTTTCCTATCCAGAAAGTCAAAAATTGCCTTAATCTTAAAATAATATGGCTCCATATGGACCAGAAAGTAAAATAAGCTTCCACTCTTAAAAAATGATTCCTTGGATGTAAGTTCCACTGAATTCAATAGAGCCTGTCTCAAAATTATGTCTGTTGGATCAGAATGCACCACCACCCTCTGTATTTAATTTGCTTCAGACAGGTGGTTATTTGATACATCGTTTTAATCTACATTGTGAGTTATCTCAGGTCCCAAGCTAGAAAGAATGTGAGATATAAACACGTACATAAATATTTGAAATATGTGGTGTCAGACAGACTTTAAACAATCCAGAATTTGGCAGGAATTTGACAGATTTTTTTTTGTTACACTTTAATTGTTAACCTGGAATTTATTTATTTATTTATTTATTTATTTATTAGTACACTTGTATACCGCTAATATCTCAGCCTAAAACGGTGACTCATTGCGGTTTACAACATTTAAAAACAACAATATTCAATTTAAAAACATAAAACACATATGAGACAGCTATGCCTTGTTCAAATCTCTTTACATGTATATGTCAAGAACACCTGTAAGCATAGCTGTGAAACAAGACACATGATCTCACCTTTGCTGTTTTGTCCCTGGAGCCACTTACAATAATGCTGCCTTGGGAATCCACACAATTCACTTCCTGTTCATGCCCCAAAAACTTGAAGCTGCAGGAGCCATTCAGTTTATGGAGAACGATAGCACCATCCCTGAAAAATAAACCCTCAGGTAGGAAGATGCTTACAATGAAGGCAGAGGACACGTAACACTCTGGCCATTGACATAGTAGCTAGTATTGATATCCAAGCAGAATACCTACCTCTCTAAAACTAGAAGTCAAGGAACTAAACCCCACTTCACATTACTGGATCAGGTGAATGGGCAACGGTGGTCCTCAAGTTGTTGTCAGCTGCCAGTACCATTCATAACTGGCAGCCATAGCAGAGCACTTGATGAACCAACCTGGACACAGCATATTATTTGAGAACACAGAAATGCTGGACCACTCTAACAACTACCATGTCAGACTACACAGAGAAGCCATTAAAATCCACAAGCATGTGGACAATTTTAACATAAAGGAGGAAACCATGAAAATGAATAAAATCTGGCTACCAGTATTAAAAAAACCTTAATTCAGGACAATAAATAAAGAGCACTTATTTACTGAGGCAAGCTCCAGGACAATGACATTTGAAAGGCAACAACTGCCCAACTCTATGCTATATTATATGGAGTGTGGAGGGAGCTCCTTCTTTGGAGATTTTAAATAGAGAATGCTGTGTTAATTTTTCATGTTTTGCATATACCATTATATTTTGGGTAATAACAGCAAGAGTTTGGGAGGCCACTAAAGTTCTCTTCCAAGACATTTCTGTTTCAGTTACCTCTGTGGTCTTTTGAGATTTCAGCAGGCATTGCCTTACCTTGTCAAATATACAATTGCTGCCATTAAATCCACCTCCTTAAAAGCTGAAAAATACTAAGGATATTGAACTTTCAACCTTGTATCACATTCTCTGCATACAGAGATGGCTAATAGGACTGATTTACCAAGAGACTTCCAAAGAACAATCTACTAAAATAAAAGGAAATCACGTAATATGGAAGCTCTGGGAGAACATTTTTCCAGCTCTCATTCAAGTGCACCCATAAACTATTGCTGGACGGCTTGGCCACCATCATTCTCCACCCCTTTTACTACTACAAAGGGCTTACCCTCCTCCGCTGACAATATGGCCATTAGCAAGCACAAAGCGGCACACGTCCTCCTGGTGTCCAGAGAAGACCGCCTGAGGACTGCATTGCAAGCTGGTGCCATTGGGATGTAGCCAATAAACTTGGATGTCTTCTGCTTGGGATAAGTAGAGGTAGTCCCCATCCAACTGCATCCAGGGCATTAAACTGGAGAGAAAAAATAATTTAAGTATCAGACATAGGAATGGGCAGGCCAGTCTGTTTTTGGACAAATTATGGATTTTTCAATACCCATTCTCACAAAACATCCATTTCTAAATATGTACATTTTAAAGTTCTTGAAACTGGAGCTTCATTACAACATCTAGAAAAGTGTGAAATCTGAAGGATAACTACCTTCCAATTCACACATTAATATGGGAAGAACAGATAGGTGAATTGCACTTTCCTAGTTACAAATTATACTAAACGTCAATATATATCATAAGTTAGTATTAGAGAACATCCAAACTATTTTTTAAGAAATCACATGTTGTACTTGCTAACTCAGTTAATACATAATGGGAAGCCCTGATATAAATAGGTATTTGTCCACCTGTTTGGTATATGTAGAAATAAAAATATTTTGGTGAAGAAAGGTACTCTCTACAGCTAGAAGTGTGGAATTAATAAGCTTCAAAAAATTGTATTTGAAAAATAGTGAGAAACAGTGTTTAACTTTTTAAAGTTTTGAATATGTTTTTATGGATTTTTAACTGTTTTTAATACCAATGATATTTAATGTAGATTTTAAATTGTATCAAAATGCTTTTAATGTAAGCTGTTTGTGGAGAGAAAAAGTGGGTATAAATAAACATAATAATATAAGAAAGTATAAGGCGCAAAACTGTGTCAATGAGCAGAAAGATTTTAACTCAAAAATTTGAATGGGGCATCTCATCACTAAAAGTACTGCTATGTTTATCCAATAGGTACTTTTGTACTCATAGACAAGCTAAGGGGTAAACAGCTATTTTTTTCAGCTATTTGAGCATTAATTTGACACAATTTCCTTGCATCTTAAGAGCAAGCTAGAAGAAAGATGTCAAATACCTTTGATACACAATGGACAATAATAATAATGTACTGGTTATTATAACACATTATAGTCAAGACGTCACAACATTTTGAAACCGAGAAGGAAGAAAAGCAAATTTTCAACTATCTTTAACCAAGGGGTAAGTACACATAGCCCATGGGTTGCATGTCAGGAGAGGAGATTGCTATCTGTTCTTCTAGCCTAGGCATGGGCAAACTTTGGCCCTCCAGGTGTTTTGGACTTCAACTTCCACAATTCCTAACAGCTGGTAAGTTCGCCCATGCCTGTTATTGCCCCTCAATTCTCATGACCGCATGTTTGGTCAAAAAGTTAGAACTGACAATCCATAATGTTTTCTAAGAAAGAAAATCACTCATAAAACAAAGCTCACAACCCATGATTTAGTTTTTTAAAAGCTAATTTAAAAAAACCCAAAGACTAGAAATGAACTTCAAGTCAATTCCACTTTTAAAAAATGATTAAAATGCATTTTCAGTGGCCCAACTCATTACAGTTGCCAACTTCTTTATCAATCTGTCTTCTTAAAATCCAGCTGATCCACCAGTTCCTGCTTGCAAATATTCTGCAGCAGAAACCTGGTACTGTCATGTTAAAAATCAAAATGAAAAATAATCTGAACAGAAAGGATGTTAATAAACACATATCGCCTATATCAGGGTACAAACCAAGCAGTATCTATCCAGTTTCAGAATATTCAGATTTTAAATAACCTAACATAATACATTAGACCTAACATACATTAAACAATACATTAAACCTAACATAAATCAAGAATAGGATGGACTCAAAAAAACAATAAGGAAATTCTGGGGTATGAGGGGGAGGAAAGTAGCCACTTGCTTGCGCTTCCATTTGAGGAGTGGGATTCTCCGACAGCGTCCATGCCTCCAGTTTTGAGAAACTTTGACTCTCTCCTTTACTGGGATACCAGTTACTCTGCAAGGGAAGAGTGAGCATGGAAAAGTTAGCATCAAAGGGAACTCCACAGGAACCCATACATGACACAACAGACCAGGTTAACGCCACAATTGTGCTTAAAGGAAGAAAAGCAAAACTTGCCACCTTTACACCACTGGAACAGTGCACTATAACACTGGCAGTTATACTCCTGACATATACTATAGAAATGTGATGGTTGACAACTTAAAGAGACATCTGTCTGATAGCATCCTAAGATATACTTAGGATGCTACCAGACACATTTCTCCTTAAGTTGTCAACCATCACATTTCTACAGTTCCATCAACACAGTGGATACAATATATTTGAGTAGGTCACTTCTCCTTCTCAAGGACTCATTCTTTCTATTCCATTTTCTCTGAACATTGAAGAACAGGTAATCTCAGCATCATTTGAGCACCATATTTAGATATAGTCACGGTGGTTCATACTTTTTTTTAAGGAGCGCAGGGCAAGGGATCTTCAGAGTTACCTTTGAGTAAATATGGTCTGGTCTATTTAACAATTTGAATGGAAACTTGTTCAGTTGTCTTTTAATTAGTCAATTTTAAGCTAGATCTTTAATTTTAATAAACCTGATCCTTCAGAGAGTTAAGTTTCTTTCCATTTCAAGAACATGTCTTGCAATGAATCCTCACATGGAGACATCAGATCAGTATAAAAATTCAGAGGTGGATGATAACTAACACATTGCAAGGAGATCAAGATGGTACCAGTCTAAAGTATTAGTTTGAGAAGGAAGTACATATTTCATTATTCAATATAAAAAGAAAAGTGATCAGTTAGAGAGACCACCAAGGTTATTTTAACCAGCTTCACCAAGACAAATGCTAAAGTCTAAATTTGGCACTTTGATAAAAAAGAGAACCCTCTAGGAATTCTGTTTGAAAGAAAGCATGTGCAACAGGCAAGAGAGCAAATGCAGGAATGCCTTTGTCCTGCCGGTACATTCCAGCACCAAGCTTTCAAATGCTATATAGGTTGCAATACTGTTGGGCATTGTGGCTGTTTATTATTTACACACATTTGAAAGATCTGTTTTCTCTTGGAGCCAGAATATTAGTTCATACTACATAGCTGAATCCTACCTCAATGGGACACCTTAAGCATGTGTAATGTTTGATCACATTCCAACTTGTTTCTCTTTTCTCCTCCCCAGTTATGTTATCTTGTATTGTTAAATGTTCAGCTGTGCACTACATGTGGCAGATATTTTCTTTTTTCCTTATTCTACCCTATAGCTAAAAGACTGATGTGCATTTGGTGGTGTCAGGAGGTCTGCTTCTTCCAATGTTGTGCATATAATGTCCATGCTGCTATTATAATGTAATGCAATACTTTGTAGTCTAGTGATTTTGTTTGTGTATTTGACATTCCCAATTCAGGCTCAAATTGCATCTTAGGGCTCTTCCACACAGCCACATAACCCAGAATATCAAGGCAGAAAATCCCACAATATCTGCTTTGAACTGGGTTATCTGAGTCCACACTGCCATATATTCCAGTTCAAAGCAGAACATGTGGGATTTTATTCAGCTGTGTAGAAGGGGCCTTAAATAAAAAAAAATCTAACAGTCTTTTTGTACCTTGCCCCAGAATTCTCTTGTTTTATTACAGAACCACCACATGTGAAAGAAAGTTCCCTCTTCATTACATTTCCAAAACTTGTTGTTTCTTCCCTTATACATTTTAGCAAGTTTTGCTGGACTCAGGCACTACCTGTTCATTATTTTATTTAAAAAAATCTCTAAGGTCATAGCACAGAAGTTTCTTTCAGCCAGTAGTCCACATTTTCCCTATTAATCTAACTGTATGCCGTATCTGACATTTTAAGTTCTTGGCTCTTAAGAAAAAGAAAAGAAAACATGCATAGTGACGTTAGAATTCTTAGAGACAGTTCTTCAAATAAAGCAATATTAGGCCGTTAATACTGTTGGCTGATTCCAATACATATGCAAGTTAGCTAAAAAATACACTCTCCATTAAAATCTTTATGATCTATTTCTTCCTTGAAACAAGAGTACAGCAGGAGACAATTCCCATGAGATATTCATTATGATTTGCCTACAGAAGCCAATAGCCAGTATGCAGTTATGCAAATCAAAACCTCGTCAAAATGAATAAAACCTAAATGTACTCCAGTTCTGGCAAGAGTTTGGTTACTTCCAGAAGGACAAACAGATACAAATTGCCTTCCCATGACATGCCCTTACATTCCTTCTCACACTGGAAAGGCAAGACGATAGACAACTCTGTCTCTAGCAAATCACAGAAACAATCATAGTAAACTAATCCTTATGGATAGCAGTGGAAACGTGAAATAGATTCTACTCCCAAACAACAAGAAGAGGGTGAAAAAAGAGTCTGCAACTGGAGATTTGCTAGCAATTCCATCCATCAAACATGAGACTAAATAGAAGATGTCCATTTCCCCATTAGCAGTGGGTCTTAACAAAGAAGAAAGCTTTTCATGCACCAGTGGACAGAACTCAAAACCTATGAAGCACATGATGGGCAGAGATGCATAGTAAGGTGCTGCTTTTAAATAGCTTCCTTTCCTGTCCTAATACGTTGTACTAGAACAAATGATACCAGAGGGATATTAATCAATGGCCACTGGTGGATGTAAAGAGCCATGCTACTCAAACCAGAATGCAGCAAAACATCTCAAATAACAATTTGGTTTTGTTTATAAAAATACAATGCAGGGGGTTAGATAAGCCAATTAAATTTAGATGTCAGCTAGTCTAAGTGATGAGACTTAATTGTCATATGTATGGAAATATCCAAATCTGTTAGTTTATTTGCTTATTTCATTGACTTATGAGACAGAAAAAATACTTGCTGCGCAATCTGTATATTTATTCAGAAAACCCTACTACGGTCAATGTGGTTTTATTGTTCTGTGCCTTCAAGACAATTTCAGTTTATGGTGATCCCAATGTAAACCTATTATATTTTAGCAAGATATATTGGGGGGGGGGGGGGGTTGCCTCTGACTTCTCCTGAGACTGATAGAGTGTGACTTGCCTAAGTACGTTTCCATAGCTGAGAACTGACTCAAACCTTGATCTCCAGAATCATAGTCCAATGCTCAAACCACTACGTAATACTGACTCTCTCAGCGTATCTTGTTCCTTACAGTATTCTGTATTTGGGTGTGAACATTTTATTTTGTTTTGTTTTTATTTGATTCATTCATTGTATATTGAATTAACAAATGCAAGAATTTTTTCTTAACTAAGGTTGCCTTGAAATTCTTGGAAAGGTCGTGAATAAAATGCAAATTAGCCTGTTGCAAAATCAAAAAAAGCAAATGTATATGAACTTTGGATAGCATAGAGAAGGGTTAACACCCCTGTGGTGTCTGTGTTGCTGTCTGTGCCTCATCCAGAAGATTTCACCTCACTTTTTGTACCTGTGATAATTGAATTTTGAATAATTTGGCTTGTTGTGGAAACAAGGATTGGTGATAAAGCTTCAGTGGAGACACCTTTTCCCCATGATAACTCTTTCAGGAATGAATTTACCTTCTGAGGGGTAGATTTCCCTCACTTCCTGTTGTCTCACCCCCATTCTTAACTGTGAGTCATTTGTAAGTCAGATGTTTGTAATTCAAGGACTGCCTGTACTTAAAACGAAAAACTTATCCTCTTTAAACAAACATATCTCATAGCTGTTAATGCATGGCAAAATCTCCAACCTGACCCTGAGGCCTGACCAGACTCTTTGTTTCCACTGCCTGAGGCTGATTTTTTGCTCTTCAGTCACCCTCCTCTTTCCGGCACTTTGTCACCATTATAATTTGGCTGCATTCCTAAGCATTTGACACACCTTAGGTCAAAAACATACAGAAACCTCCACCTAGAAATATCTTTCCCAAACAAATTTAGGAAAGAGAATCAATCTCCCACCACTCCATCTATTCAACAGCCTTCCTAGTCAATATACCTGTGTACTCATGCATATGATCACAGGAGTCCCTGGTGGCACAATGGGTTGGCAATGAGTTCGAATCCAGGGAGAACTGGTTGATGTCCTTCTGACAGCTCCAGCTCCCCATGTGGGTACATGAGAGAAGCCTCCCACAAGGATGGTAAAACATCAAACATCTAGGCATCCCAATTCTCTCACACCAGAAGCAACTTGCAGTTTCTCAAGTTGCTCCTGACACACAAAAAATACATATGACCTTTCAATACATCTAGGCAATTCAGTACACTGCATAATTCTAGCTATATGGAAATTTCACAAAGTTTAAGCTGAATTTTGACCCAAACATTTTAGTATGTTACTGTCCTTTACTATCTGTTTGATGTTTTTGCTGTTCACTGAGAAATTAAATTATAGGGGGCCCTATTAATTATGTTGAACAATTTGAGAAGGAAGGCAGGCATACAGTAAAATACTACCTTTTATCACAGTGGAGAACTTTTATTACTGTAGGTAACAATTTGCCACAGCAAACACCTTAAATGTTTGTGTTCCTTGTTTCCTAACAAACAAATTATAACTTCAGTAGGCTTTTCTTCTTCCAGTGTTAAACAAATTCCTAGTCATAATTACCCAGTTATTTTTTCTTAATAAAGACAAATAAATAAATCAACATAAGAAATAAATCCATCTCACAATATCATTTTTGTTTCTAGCCTAGCTTGCCCATGTACACTTACACCAGTACTTTCTGGTCTGCCAAGCTGTGAATAGTACAGATTGCTGTACATAGTCATGCATTAGTCAAACTCACATATAAGTCTAAGGCAGGTTTTGGGGTCAAAAATCTGAATTGTGATTTATGCCATGGATAAGGTGGTGGTGAGGTGATAAGGTGATGGTGAGGGGAAAGTACCAATGCAAACTCAGGAGGCAAACCACCCCTGGCTGCCACCCAGGCATTCAGAAAGTCCAGAATCTGCATCACAGCAGAGAAAGTAAATAAAACTAGTGCTTCTTTCAAGTTCTTCCAAAATGGACAA